GTGTGTGTTTTTTTTTAATTGTAGCATTCAGCAACATAAATAAGCGGTTGTGCTGTCTTATTGTTGACGTTCATAAACAAACTTAGTCTACATGTTTTTTTATGTGTCAATATCGCTATGCATTTTTGTAATGTAATATACACGAATGAATATGCAGAAATGGGAGTAATTAATTTGGGCATTTTTCTACAATTCCGAAACGGTGTTCCACGTGCATATCAACACTTCTATGGGTTATTTAAATGCCAAAAACTAAATATTTTTTACATATCTTACGTTTATGATTTCAACTACTGATATTATATACATAATTTTATACTTTCAAAATAACGGTATGTTTTTTTGTTTTTTTTTAGATATATAGTTTGTAGATCATAAAATGTATTGTTAGTAATTTTATTATAAAAATTTTGTTATTGTAGAAATGTATTGTTAGTAATTTTATATATTTTTTTAGTGTTGCATTGATTGTCATTTTGCTATAAAAATATTTTCTTGTTCATTTTATTATCGAAATGTACTACTGACTGGGGGTTCGCTATTTACCCATAGCTGACCCCCCACTAACAGGTGCGACTACTTTAGGTCAAGGTGGAGCTAGGAACAACAGAAGTTATGCTCCAGAAAACCTTCAATCTCCCGATCAGCGGCCTTACTGCCGGATGTAGTTTATCGTCATACCCAGGACGCTGTCCGCATGTAATTTATACGATGTGAGTAGAATATCTTAATTCCAGTCTATAAACAAAAAAAAGAAAACAAATAAAAATCGGGTTTAGAAAATTTATGTCGACTGTGACAGGAGTATGCTTATTGTAAATATTTTATGACAGGTAACCGATAAGGTCATTTGGAGCGCAGTATTGATGATACTGGAGTTTCTTTTAGCTATTGTTTGCCTAATACAATGTTATTCAAGATAGATGGTTACTGGATTATGTTGTTTTATGAACAGGGAAAAGTGAGAAGTGAAGATTATGAGGATAGGTAGGTTAGATAACAGTTGACCTCAGAAGAGATTAAGGTTGTATATGGCATGGAGGGTTTTAGTTTTATAGATCTGAATTGGTCAAACTGAGGAACATTTTCCATGGAAATTGTGATAGATTGGCGAGAGGTGTGCGACATTTCATCTATGGAGAAGACAGTGTAGGGTAGAAAATAATTAATCACCCACAGGGCCGCATAAAGAAACAGAGCATGGCATGTGGATTCAGGTACTTTATAGACTTGTATAAGGAGCCTACCATATTTCTAGTATCTTTATGTTTCAGCGTGTAATATATATATATATATATATATATATATATATTGATATTTAATTAATTCATCGAGTCTGATAGAAACCTCTACAGAATGCAGGAAGCACTGGACGGCCGTTTCGTCCTATATTTGGGACTCATCAGCAGTGCACATCCACTACCGAGTATCGAACCCTGACAGTTGGGTTGTCAAGCGAACACCATACCAACAGTCCTATGGTTACAGAGAACTCAGTTGAGTTCCGCCACGGAATATATGAGCGAGGGGCGCTAAGTTGAGTCTGATTTGGAATCTCTTCGTCACCGAGGCCCATTTGGAACAGATGTTCGTTGACAACCTAATGTCAGGGCAACTCGGTAGTGGATGCGCACCGCTGATGAGTCCCAAATATAGGGCGAAACGGCCGTCCAGTGCTTTCTGCATTCTGTTGAGGTTTCTATCAGACTCGATGAATTAATTAAATATCATTATCAAATCCTCCTACTAATTACACACACACACACACACACACATATATATATATATATATATATATATATATATATATAATATTATAAATTTACTTATTTAAAAATATGGTTACATCGCGAAACAGATGTCAATTACTGTACAATATATTAAACAACATACGAACAAGACAGTGATGATAGTCTGTTATTGTCTTGTCCGTATATTGCTTAATATATTGTACAGTAATTGACATCATTGATAATGGCTTATGTAAGCCGAAAGCTTACATTGGATTAAAAAATATGGATCAATATTGTGATTTTCTTTCTTCGTTTAATGATAATGTTATTAAGCTTATCAGACGTTATGAAAAGAATTTAGATAAAATAAATAGACAACACTTGTCTATATTATTTAATGAAACATGTATGAATGTATATATATATATATATATATATATATATGTGTGTGTGTGTGTGTGTGTGTGTGTGTGTGTGTGAAAATATATAGAAAATAGGAAAGAACTTGTGTAGGTAAATAATCCAAAGTTCTTTTGTATTTTAGTTATTATTTTTAAAAAATAGTGCTCGATACAAAAGTAGAACATAAATATAATTATTTATTTAAAAATATGATTCCAACACGCTACATAAGAGTTCTCATGTTTCAAAACAAGAGCCGAAAACTTCAATAAATTATTTGAATTAAATTGAATTAAAGTAAGCTCTGTTCCATCTTCAAACGAAATTTTTTGGGGAAATTTTTTTGGGGAAATTTTGGGAAATTTTGGAAATTTTTTTTGTTGGGGGGGAATTTTTTTTCCCAAAAAAATTTTGCTTGAAGATGGAACAGAGCTGAGAACTCTTATGTAGCGTGTTGGAATCATATTTTTAAATGAATATTATATATATATATATATATATATATATATATATATATATATATATATATCAATTACACTAGTTTTTTAATAACCATGGACTTAAGATCACTTTACTCAAACATCAAACACATCGAAGGACTAACAGTCCGTAAAGACGCACTTACTAAATGAACAAAACAAGACCCTCCCCCTCAGAAATAATGATAAAAATTATGGAATATGCTTACATTGAATACTTTCGATTTCAATGGAAAACACTACCTACAAGTAAGAGGACGTGCCATGAGCACCATTGCAGTTCCATCATATGCCAAAATCTTCATGCATAAATTTGAGGAGACCTATATTTATCCCTTCATTACTAATGACTGTATATTCTGTGCAAGATATATCGATGATATCTTTTTCATACACACAGGCAGTGAGGAGAAATTCACTGAATTCCTCCTGACCTTAACATGGTACACGACTTCATTAAGTTCGACCACGAAAAATCAACAGGATCGGTAATATTTTTAGGCACACCCATTTAGATCGATAAAAACAGAGAACTACAAACGACACTACGCACTAAAATCACCGATATAACCCCATAAATCAAGCCCTACCCACATTTCTCACCCACACATGACAGACATGCTTACAGAGGTGTTGAGGTCTCACACTTATACGTACACTGACACTAATATATACACATACACACATCATACACACTCCCAAAGAACTAAAAGATAACATATACTTAACACGCACACCCCATTCCCAGCAACTAATAAAACTGACAAATTGACCAAGGGGGGTCATTCTTAATGTCAGAAATCTCCCATCCTTTATCTTAAAAAGATGACTTCAAAGAGGCCATTTTGACCAACTGTTGTAAAGTAGTTTCCACAGTGGAGGCTTGTATTTCAATAAGTCGGTCCTAAATAAGGTCCGACGTACAAAACGTTAGGAACTTGCAATAATAGTTAATGATGCAGCAAATCTAGTTGTGGTGATGATACTTTATTGTCCGACATCGACTGACTCACTCAACTCCACTGAGCCCAACTGGCGACCGCTACTACTACTACTACTTATTATGTGTGGAAGAGACTATTACAATAGAATAGGTAATGTTCTAGTATAACACCAACACAAGGACTGACCAAAATTAACGATAAAAAATCAAATGAAAACTACAGATAAAGTTCACTTTCTTCAGAAACAGTCATTCGTTCCTGTAGTTCAGGGCTACTAACAAGCAGGATTTTTTTTTATCCTGATGATGGCCATGCTGGCCGGAACTAGTCGAGGAACCTAAATGAAATAATAAACAGCACATACAAACATAAACATATATGAATAGTGTGGGACTGTGGGTATATGCGCACGCATGCGTCGTTGCGTGCAAACATACGCAGTTGGTCGCTGTATTCAATGTTGGAATTGTGTAGCGAATTTTTTCTAAGTGATGGAGTCAACTTATTGATCTGCAATGCATGAATGTGAGTCTATATGTTTTGGGGCATAAAATAGTAGGTCCTTGCTAGATTAAATATTCGTTATTTTATATGTGTTTATATTAAATTTGTAACCTGTAGTTGATGTTACTTTTGTCAAATTTTCTTGATTGCACAGAGGCTCTCTTATAAATGCGCTTCGGTTATTGTTTCCCCCCCCCCGCCATCTCCCCCCACTTTTTTCTTTTTTTTCTCTCTCTCTCTCTCTCTCTCTCTCTCTCATCTTCTGAATTTTAAGTTTAGATTATATCGTCTTTTATTGTGCGTAGTGTCACCACAAATGTATAAACCCATTTCCGGTGCCGGTTTTTTAATTTAATTTAGGTCAGCAATTCAGTAATGAATAATGCATCGAAAAATAACTCATATTTATCTGTTTCTCACTCTTAATCCCCACCTTCACTTTTAGGCCTTCCTGTTCTTATCTCGTCTGTTACCCCTCTTTATAGCTTTCATTTATGTCATGGGTCTTTACCTATAACTACAGAGTGAACTCTTCCTAACACTATGTATACTACGCCTCTCAAGAGAGAGGGACGATTC